ATCTGTGTCTCTCAGCTCCAAGCCCCTTGGTACCTACTGAAGACGTTAATCTGTAAAAACACAAATCTATCAAATTTAGTTTCATGAGTAATCTACTTAAACAGCTGCTCACTGTAGTTTTTATCAAACAAACAGGAGGAAATAGTGCTTTTGGTGGGTACTGTTTTCATTGATGGATTAATCCACTTTTGCTGCTGTAGTGAGTATTTGTAGCAGCAGGATGGTGTATGTGGGACTGGTCAAAATCAACTACAGTGTGTGTGCTCATGGTAATAAAGAAACATGTCACCCAGTGCAACAGTGTGGCCCACTGATGTGTTTTTAACAACAGTGGTGCATCATGGCACAGATGAAGAAGATACATCTGGCTGTAGTTACACACATAATACTTGTTAGTAGAAATATTCACTGTTGGTTTTGGACATGAAGAAAAATTTGAAATATCATCAAATCTGTCATTTAAAGAAACAGTGTGCAAGATAAGGGGGGTTTAGTGCTGTCTAGCAGTGAGGATTGCAGATTATAACCAGCTGAAGCTCCTGGTCAATTCCTTCAGTGTTCATTGTTCAGAAGGTTTTAACCGGGAGCTGAATCATCCACAGAGGTCTCTTCCTCTCCAAAACAAATCAACCAGGTGATGTAAATCAGTAAGAACACTCAAGCAGTTTCACGTTACACATCTGTCTTTTGCCATTGCTGTTTGGCATTTTGCATACGGCCCACTAACCCAGCACCTGCTCATGTGTGCTCACCCTTTTTCACTGATAACTTAAGATTCAGACTTTCAGGAGGTTTTAAGCAGGAGCTGAATTATACACAGAGTACATGAAATCGCGAATGTCCCTATCTCGAGAAGTGTTTGGATTGTTCATTCTGGGCTACAGTAGAAACATGTCAGTGCAACATGACGATCTACGTAGACAAGGACCTGCTCCCTATGTAGATATAAAAAGCTCATTCTAAGGTGATAAAAACACAACCTTTCTTATTTTCAGGTGATTATACTGAAGAAAACATACTTATTACATTATATTCCATTTCTACCAATATAACCCCTTAAGTCCTGCACACTGGATCTTTAAATTAGCAAAAACTATTATTTAAATATAAAAATATCCAATCAAAGAAAAAAGATGGGTTTGACCCAGGGTTCAGTACTTCTGCAAGGAGAAGTAGTTTCAAGGCTCATGTTTGCTTCCTTTATGTAAATAGATCTGTTCATTTTAAAGGTAGGATCTGGAGGATTTTCAAACAAAACAAAATATAGACATATACAAATTAAATCCTGCTCAATCGTCACCTATGGGCTTCTACTCATGTGTGGTGGTGACTCTGTTTGCAGAGCTCCTGCCCTTTAACTGTATTTTGATGTTTTTGTGAGCTCTGACCGCTTCTGGGCGGAGATTCCCCCAGCCAATGAGAGAGCGCAGGTGCCGTGCTCGAGCGTGCCCGAGCGTGTCCGAGCGTGCACCAGCGCGAGCCTTGCCTGAACCTCTTCTGTAGCCTTCTTCCGTACCTCTGGGCTCCGTACACCCGGGAGAGTTGAGCCTGATAGGAGGGGCCGAATTTGAATGTGTGTTTACAAACAGCAACTGGAAAATCCTCCAGACCCTACCTTTAAATGTTGTAACCATCGCTGCAAACATACTTCCTTGCATAAACACATCCACATGATGGCACTAAAGGACAGAGTCAAAAGTTTCTGACAACAACAAAAGGAGTGACAGTGAAAGAGGGTGTAATAATGTACCTTTTAACAGAGGTTTGTGAGGCCATTACAAACATCCCAACATGTGTAGTGTGAATTCTTTTGCCTATGATACTGATACGGTCTGTTACGACATTTTGAAAATGTCTTTGTTGTGTCCTACAGTCGCGTCTCACTTGAACTACGCTACACTGCCCCTACGATTTCATGTGGTGCTGCTCTGTTTCATCTGTATCTGTATCGGAAAATGTGCACAAATATGGACAAAATGAACACAGAATAACTACAGAAGGCTCCGTCTGTGTCCATATACATATCTAACCCTGAACATAAATGAACCTTTGAGAGGCTAAAACTGCAGCAACACTTGTAGATATAAGAAAAACTTAAAGGAATACTTCACCCCTGAAAAGACTATTTCTTCATTGATTACTCACCCTGTTAGGTTGAATTTGTGAAGAAAACTTAGATTTTCTTATATGCCTCTAGGGAATGAAGAATCCAAAAACAGAAAACTCTTCAAATTCTTCAAAGAACGTGAGGGCATGTGAGAAAAACAGTTTCAGTTTGAATTTAATGTACTGTAATACGGGCTGAGTCATTGATTTACAAATAGTTATTTTGGGGTAAAGTATTCCTTTACATGTGTACCAACGCATTTTGTCTGTCTGTCTGCCTACATCGGGTCATTTTTCTGGGTCAAACTTTCAAAAATTGACAGTTTAATTCTCAATTCTGCTGACAAATTCTGGTCAGTCAAAGTATTGAGTTTTTTTTTCCAGCCCTACATATAATAAACAAATAACTTGTATTCACTCAGGTAACTCACTCAGTATGCCCAGAGGTCATTTTCTAAATTCAGAAATAAAAACCTCTCTCCCCTTGGTTTCCTGCATGTATCCCTGGTAAACAGGTCTAAGGTGCAGTTATGGGATATTAAGTTCTTTCACACTGAGTGAAGCTGTGGTCTGTCTGAATGAGTGTTATAATTATTTCTGCTGTGTGGGCGCATTCAAAGATAAAATCCACCTTCAGATACTCCTCTATATCATCACTGTGATGTGAATAATACCAGGTTTTGTTCAGTGAACTTGCAGTTGAATTATCCATTTCATTATTTATGAACCAGGTTATAATAACAGCCTCTAACTCACCTCTTTTTGTGTTTTTTCCTCCTGAAAACTTTGTCTTCTCTTATGTTTAATCCAAAATGGCAGCTCTAGACAGAAGCTTTCTTTTATATGGATTGAGGCCCTGAAACCAAAACTTGTTTATGTTTTTCAATCATTTGATTAACATTGATGAGTTAGACTTTCAGCCCTGAGATTTTCGATATTTTAATTAATAATACAGCACATCAATACTGAAATATTTATGTCACTCAAACTGATGCAGATCACATCACTAATGGATGATTTTGAGGGCCACTATTTCTTTAAAGGGGACCTAATATGCTTTCCCTAATTTTCTGATGTATATACAATGTTTTAGTGTTGGATATTCATATTAAATGTAGCCAAAGTTTCAAATAAGGTAAACATGCATAAAGGTAATACCTGTTAGCAAAAAACTCAGGCTTTAGGCCATTGTGAATACTCTGTTTCCAATGTTTTTTCTACTTTAAGACAAGCTGACGTCAGCTTGTGACAGATTTCTTTATACAATCCTACTGTAAGAGTTCAGGCTGTTCTCATGCACTGCTCATATGTATGCCTACAAAAAGTGATGCCCCAGAATGGGCATATAACCCATGTAATTGGGAGGGCTGCGATCACATGACCAATGCACTAGCGGTAGTAAAGAAGGAAGTAGTATAAAGAGTGAAGTCCATATAAGGATGCACACTTGGGTGGCTGATAGGTCAAACAAACGTAGGACTTTCCTCCAGAGTCCCATGTTCGTGTCCCCTATGTGAAACCAAATGAACTTGGAATTACTTTAAGGTACGTTTCTTTTCCTAAACCTAACCTACGTAACTTTACTTGCCAAAACTTAACCTATGAAACTATATGTTAAGTTTATGACTTTACATTAAGTACGAATTGTGCCAATCTTTTTATCTATACCTAACCTATGTACCTTTACTTGCCTAAACCTAACCTACAAAGCTTTATTTAAAGTTTGTGAGTCTACATTAAGAATATAACGTGACAATGCATATCCACATCTGTTTTCCTAAACCTAACCTATGTAACTTTACATTAAGTACGTAACTTTACATTAAGTAAGGAATGTGACAATGCCTAACCATGTGTCTTTTCCTAAACCTAACCTATGTAACTTTACTTTCCTAAACCTAACATTCACAGTTTTACATTAGGTACGTAACTTTACATGAAGTAAGGAATATGACAACGCCTAACTATGTCTGTTTTCCTAAACTTATCTTCTATAACTTGATTTGATTAAATTTTATTGATCAATTACTTTGCATTAAGGATATAACTTTATGTTAAGCACGTATCTTTACATTAAGCACACAACATGACAACAACCAACCATGTTTCTTTTCCTGAACCTAACCTACATAACTTCACTTGCCTAAACTTAACCTACAGAGCTTTACGTTATGTACATAACGTGACTATGCCACTAGTGGGGCACTCATTTGTGTGATATCTTGGCACTAGTCAGCCCTTGTCCCTTGTCGGCTGTTTTTGGGCTGATTCAGTATGTTGAAAAGGTGTCAGAGCTGGTTGGTGAGTGAAATTACTGGCAGTTGGCAGAAACAGAAGTGAGGAAAGTAAACAAAGACTAAAGTCAACAGGGAGCGAGACCAAAATTAATTGTAGTTAATTCAAGTTAATTCAACATTGGATTGTGTTGTTAATGTGCTAAATGCCATCTTAAAACCATCCTGTCACTGTCGGCCTTCCAGAGCCCCTTTTTGAATGATTAATACAGACTACCGCTGCCTGCTGCTTTGGAGGATTATTCCTCTCATGCAGGTACAGAACATACATGTTGGTTGGCCATTAGCTGTCGCCTTTGCATTATGTTCAAGCACAACTTTTTGGCTGAGACACAGGCAGCATGCGGTGACTCAGCAGTTAGCCTCCATTGGAGCTAGTTCTTTGATGACTGTTTGGTGTGTCTGATTCTCAAAGCAGAGCGTTTCAGTCAGAGGGTGAATACAGGTGTTATAGCACAGACAGCACAGTGAATAAGTGTTATTTGAACATTAAAGCATGTAAACATATTCAAGTAGAAACTTAAAATGCAAGTATAAACTTACAACTTAGTTGTTCTTTAATATGTCGTTTCTTCTTTCCCTCTTGTTGTCCTCCTGCAGGTGAAGTATAAGAAGGACTTTGAGGAGAGTAAAGGTCGAGGATTCAGCATCGTGTCGGACACTCCAGAGATGCAACGACTCAGAAAGACTCAGGAGCAGATCAGTATCGTATGTTCACACACACACACACACACACACACTCACACAGATATACATCATTCATTGTTTTTCCTGGTGTGTGTATAATGTGAAATGTGTGAGTGAAGTGAGGGGTGCACTTTGGTCAGTGAGCACAATCGCACACACACAAACACACACAAAATGTCTACATCATCGAGCCCTCCAGTGTTGACGACATCAGCTGTTTGAAGATGAGCTTCCTTTGGAACCAGTGAGTGTAAGTGACTGTGATTTATTTTTTTATTTACTTATTTATTTTAAGGACAAGTCAAGCTGTCAGTTGTTAAATTACAAATGGATGCAGTGAGAGAAGAAAGACATGTTTTAAGGCTGCCTTTGAAAGAAGCGACAGCCCGAGCACATGTGAAGCTGTTCCAACAACCAGGAGATTAAAAACTGAAGGCAGCTTCACCACATTTTAAGTCCCAGTGCTACAGCAGCTGACCTGAGAGGTTGTGGTGGCTTGTGGCTTTTAAGCATGTTGAACAAACAGTACAGTGTATGATGGAGCAGGGCCATTCAGAGCTTCAAAGACAAGCAAGATGAAGATGAGCCAACATTTAAATAATTAAGTAAGTAGTAATACATGGCAAAGTGTCCTTAGACAAGTAAATAATGAATGAGGTGGCAGGTGAAGAGCCCATCAGAACATCTCAGAGTGCATTACGGTATTTCCCTTGGTTGTGGTAAAATGCTTTAGACAGTCGAAGCAAAACACTTTATACAATAATAATAGTCTGGATATCATTTCTATCTTTGAATGTTTCTCTATGTGATGTGTGTGAATGGGTGTGTGCATACAGTTGCTCTACTCCCCATGTGTTGACTGATGACCCAGTGACCCTCAGCAGGTGATGCCAAGGTAGTGTGCGCGTTTGTTTTTCTCTGTTATTCTTCCTCCTGAAGTTGTATTTCTCTTTGTTCATTTAAAACAAATTTCAATTGTTTTTGTTGTATTTTGTGCATCTACAAACATGAAAGATATGGTGGTAAAACACTGAGAGATACATAAAACATTAATATTATCTGCATTCATAAAACATCATACATTATTCTGGTGTACCCTGTTAAAGTACTCCTAATTTGCTGCTGCTACTACTCACACCACTATGTCACTCGAGACAGTTTTAGTATAACTCTGGTCGTGGGTACTGTGTGTATGTGTGCTGCTTGCCTTGTAATGTTGATATTAATGGCTTTGTATTTATCTTAATAGAGCAAATAGAGCACCTTTCCCAAAAATCCAGATTGATGAATATGAGTGTTTTGAGATTGTGGTGTGACTTGGAATTTTATATTATGCCTCCACTCCCATCCCGAGACTCTGAAACCCGAAACAATACCAATGAGCCGCATATGCTTGCATATAAATCTTGCTATCTTGGCGATGATTGATTTTTATGAGCTTCTGGCAAAGCTGATTGAAGCTGATTGTGCTGAAACGAAGGGAGTCAAACGAAGTTGTACATTAGTTGTTGCTTTGTCTGTGGAGTCTCTGCTGCCTCACTTGTGTGGCAAGCTAACGCTAGCAGGTGAGTATGCAGATTTGTTGTAGGTGTAGGTAAAGACCGAGAGCCTACACAAGTGGCCTACACCGTTGTAAACATTTATGCTTTTGCAGTGGTGTGTCTGTGTTGTTCTGTAGTTACACCTCCAAAACAGTTAGCAGTGGGGTTTCTGTGCCACTGTGATGACTTTCAGTGAAGTGCAGTAAGTTTGATTGAATTCAAACACACATTAAACACACAGAAAACCTGGTAATTAATAACAACAACGTTAAAGGGATACTTCAACCATTTTAAACCAGCTTTATACCAAAACGATGTGGGTAGTATATGTAAATGTAACTGTTATAAACTTCCCTTCATTTAACCAGTGCCTAGATATCTCCTCTCCCCTCGGCAAAACTCCACCAGATGTTGTAAAACAGGTCATCCAACAGAGCCTGGCTGGCTCTCGGGCTATTACTCGAACTACAGGCTGTACTTTAGCAATTTTGTATCACCCACCACCCATGCTGCCACCACGGACAAAGGGAATAGAAGTGGATCAAGAGACACACAGATGGCTTACTATTTATCTGTAATATAAGATAGTTTGTCACCAGCTGGATGCCATTGTGTAAAACAGATGAGTTCCTCTACTCACATAAAGCAAAGCAAGACTTCTATTGTGTGGGGACTTTACTGTCTTCATAATTTATCATTTCTTATTTGTGAAATAAAAGTCAATAAAACTTTGTTTCCATTGTGGGAAATTGTTGTTAAGATAAGATAAGACAAAATAAGGTCCGATACGATGCGATACAATATGATATAATAGGATATGATAGAACTTTATGCAAGGGAAAATTGCTGTGCACCAGTTGGAGTTAGTTAGAGGAGTGCAGATACAAAGCGTGCAATATACAATGACTAAAATACCAGCAGAAAAAAAGCTTAGCAAATATGTTTAGCAAATATAAAATACAGTATAGCCAATATAAACTAAATATAAACTGGATAACAGATATAAAAATATAAACCTTACGAAAAGAAACAAGAGGTGTACATCACCGTGACACATAGCTTTATTACAGAGTTGATGCAGAGCTTATTCTGTAGGTCTGGCATCAATGCAACGAGAAAGTATAAATTCAGCTGCCTTGTATGAAGTCAAAAGAAAGCATTGTCTTCATCATTTTTCCATGTATGGCGTAGAACCCGAAATACTTCCACACACTGCTTCTCTGATGCTTTGGTGTCACAATTGTCCGCTCAGGGCCTCTTTCTCATAAGTTTCCTACATTTTTGTAGCAAAATAACCCCATTACCAGCTCAAGCTAAGTTTACTGACAGCAAACAGCAGGTCAAGCTGATTTTTGAGCGCCCTCATTTGGATCACAAGTGAAACTACTTCAAATGATCTTCTGGCCTCTAAACTGTAAAAAAGCAGTCTGTTGCACTTTACTGTACAGTTTGAATCTGAACAGGTCATTACACTTTAAAAATGAAATACTTTTAAACGAATAGCTGAATTTCAATTAAAAGGTGACAACCCTACAACAAACCCGTTAAAAACGTTCAGTACATACATGTATATAACTTACCTGTCCTTCCCACATCAAACTTCGCTCATTGGCTCTTCTCTTGATATCCCAATTATCCATTTTTGCCAAATGTTTTTCAGTTATTCTGCTGTGTTGTGTCTTTCCCCTCTTGTATCCTTCCTTTAGTTTTCATGTCCCCTCTTCTCTGTTTTCTCTTTTTCTTTCCTATTGTTTTATATTTTTTTCTGCCCATCTGTCCCCCTTCTCTTCTCTCCTCTGTTTACCTGACCGAGTGATCGCATTATTCCGCCGTGTTAATACACCACAGATTCTCTCTCTTCTCATTTGCTCCACTTTAATTAATATGCACACACACATTGCCTCTCCCTCTCTCTCCCAAATGGTGTTGCATTCAACAGCCCACACATTTTATTTTATTACTCAGCTCTTTTCAAGGCTGACCTGGTGCTGAGAGAAGAGGAGGGGGAGAGGTGGGAGGAAGGGGAGGGTAGTGGGAGGAAGGTGTGAGGGCGTTTGAAGAGGAAGACTGAAAGAGAGAGAACAGAGAGAGATTTATGTTTGCTTGAAGCTGAATTAAATGTTTATGTGTCAGTAGGAAAAGAGAAATCAAATCAACAAAACTGTAGTGAAGTGTAATGTTTCAGTGAGAAGCTGAAGTCTGAGAAGAAGTGTGTTTTCTCTCCGCCAGTAAACCTGGTTCACATCAGGACGAGATCACAAGGATTTCTCCCAGAAAAAGCTTTGTGTGGTTCTGAATTCATTAACAAGATCTGAGGGAGTGAGAAAAAGAGAGAGCTCCTGGTCAGTTTTTTTTACCACCTATAAAAACTGTGTCTCCCAATTTAGCTTGGAGAGGAGACAGATTTATTCCCCAGAGAGACTTGTTTACTGTGATACTGGGTGAGACAGTGATGACTGCAGGCACGAGGTGCAGCCAGGACTCCACTGGCAGGACTCAGCTGTTATTTAGGCCACTAGACCCATGATGTGTTTAAAGACCTCATTAATTAGCTGTCCTCTGAACAAGTCACGATTAGTCTGTGTTTTTTTATGCTTTATTGGTGGTATTTCTTTGCAGATTTTTGTACCCTGGAAAATCAGAAAACTTGGCTTAGGTACCACTAAAAGGAAAATGTACTTATGACAGTGCATTTCAATGGACATAACCTGTTTATGATTGGGTTTGTGGAGTATCCTGTTTATGTGTTTGAGCATGTGAACACCATATTCAGTTAATGAGAAACCACAATATGCTAGCTGAAGTACCCCAAAAGAAAGTATACAGGAGATATGAACAATCTGATTTCTCTGTGCCCATGTAAACACCATATTTGGAATATGATAATAACTGAGATAAGCCTCATAAATGGGTTATTCACATCCATGTAATCACATTGTTATAACCATTGAAGAAAAGCTTGTTCTATCTAGAGCTGTAGTCAACCAAAGAAAATCTCTTTATCATTTCATTAATTATGACAAAACTTCACAAAAAAGTCTAATAGGATAAAATGATGAAGTGATATAGTTTTATATGGTTTGCCTTCACATATTCAGTAAAAACTGAGCAAAGTTTTTCTCTCAATTCATTAGTTTGTAAGCAACAGTAACTCAGAGTGAGAGTCATACTCTGTCTGAAATATAAGTAGTACAACAAAATAACTACAAGAACTACAAGTTTTTTGTACTTAACAGTTGTTAAATACAAAAAATGTAGCCCTACCCTCAAATCTATAAATAGTATTTATATTTATAAAATAAGTCTTTTGGAAAAATCCTAAATGATGGAGTTGTTGTTTTCCCTGGACCTGTATGGTCATTTCCTCTCTAATCTTTCAGCTATAGCTTGTATCACTCAGTGCTGACCATCAGATCCCCGTCGCTCCCCCTTTAGGAACTGAACTCTTCCACCATGGAGCTGGTAGCAATTTTGCTTTCAGCCATGCTTGTTGTTGCCATGCGTAACGCTGACATCCTTATGTCAACAAGTCAGAATATTGTCTGTATCATGAAACAAATTTTTCTTATCGTATTAAAAATTATACAAGTGTTATCATGAACCGTATAATATGGCACATCCCTATGGGGCACACTGCTCTGCAAAAATGAAAAAGCCTTTGGGCTCAGTGCTAACCCAAGTTTTAAGCGCCCTTTCCATTACATTTCTTTGTCTCAGATGTTTAAAAAAAATCTTATTTTAAGGAACAAAATCAAAATGTTAAATTATTTAACAAGTTGTGGGAGGAAAATAATACCGCAGGCATTTATCTTTATCAGATCAATATTAATATTATTAGTAATCCTGGATCTGTCAGGCTGTAGTGTGCTTGCTGGCCATATCCAGTCACATGATACTTGTTGGTTGTAACTGATGCATCAGTATTTACCATGTCTTTCTGTTTCTGTTTGAAATGCACAACATATTGTGGGAAGAAAATGTATTGTTGTCATTGAAAAAAAAAATGTATCTCTGTATTAATTTCTCTTATATGAGGTCATATGTTTATGGATTAAATGCATCACTACATTATGCAGATAATGCAGTGTTGCTGGTGATGAATGAGCCTTTTGTTGTTGTGTGGAGCTGTGATTTATTTGTGTGGCAGCAGATGGTGGTTTGGCTGAGAGACAGTCAGATCTGTTCTGCTCCGTCTTTATCAGGTCGATGTCCTGTTTACCTCAGCTGCCATCTGACACTCTGATCACACTGCCAAGCTACCTGCTGCCTGTGAGGCTCATATCTGCACAATGATTCATCTTTACAATGATTACAGTGATCAATCACACAGAGAACATGAAGAAGTACTTACTTT